ACTAGGAATCAAAATAACAATCTAAGCATGATATCTACATCATAAATTAATTAAAGTACTTACTTGGATGCCTCGTACCTCTTTCTAATAACAAAATACACGCGCTAGTAACTTCAAGGAAAATAATAATCAAAACAGTTAAATTAAATAATTTAAATAGAGATTTGGGACCAAACCCTCAGAAATTAAAACCTTTCACGTCTAGGGCGAAGGCAACTTCGAATATGGCTAGGTGTATCAAGATCTTGTGAATGCGGAATTTTGTATTAAAAAGTAAAATATTAAAGAAAGAATGAATGAATGATGTAGATGATGAATGAAGAGAGTTGATGAATAATTGATGAATAATTTTGTGAATGAAGAGAGTTGATTATTGGTAATTGATAGATGTAGATGATGATAATAGTTGAATTAATGAATGGTAATTGGTCATGAAAACGGAGTTTTAAATACGATATTTATAGAGAAAATCAGCCAAAAAAGATAATTTATCAAAACAGAGTCTGAAGACCACAAAATCACCTTGGCGCCTGCCCTGGCTCATTGGCGCCAGGACCAGTGGCTAGCGCCAGGCGCTAATGGCTGGCGTCTGGCGCCAATCCTGATTCCAGGCGCCAAGGCCTGGGGTTGGACGCCAAATTAGATTTCAACACGTTTTCGAAAATCTGATAAATTTCCCGTACTGGAAGATAAAATAATATAATTTCAGTTGAAAATGCTATTTGATCTAATTAAAACTCTAAAGAACCCTAATTGAATTAAGAATGATAAAACCTTCTAGAATGTTCTAGAAGACTAAAACCATTCCTAATTACAATAGGAATGATAAATCATATTAGGCCCTTCCCTAGATCATTGGGTCGTACTTAAAACTCAAACCGGGCCCAGTTTAGTAAATTGACCATAACTTCCTCAATATTCATCGGAATTGGGCTTATAATATATTGTTGGAAAGGTCTTTGCAAGCCCCATCCAACTACACCACTATTGGACCCATATCATGGACCAACCAAACTGGATTGGCTGTTTTCTTAAAATAAAGTTTTCAAAAACAGAGAGAAGAGAAAAGAATTAAAACTTTCCGCAACACCAGACCTTTCCACACTTTCGTTTCATTCGATTATGATTCGACGCGAAAGGTACTCATCAACGGGTTTGGTTTTGGGGAGACACAAATGGGTGTCTACACCCTCCTACCCGATTCCTGTTGAATCACCCACCAAGTATCCCCTCCTATGACATTAACCCAGTTAAGGCTACCTAGATAGGGTAGGTCCATAAGAGTTGGGCCGGCTACCTTACCATCATCGTTAGGGACAAAGCTAAGGTGTTTGACCGCTATATGTGTAACTAGGCCACCAAAGTAAATGGGTACCCTAGACCTACCCGCCTCGGCCGCATTGGCCACCCGTTGGAAGTGGGTGGCCATTTTGTGGACTATATTGAGCTTTTCACTCCTAGGGACCATGTATGACCCTAGTAATTCAAGCTCATCCCGCCTGACATTGGCGGGTTCATGCCTACCAAAAATGGTAAGACCAACAAACCGTAGTTGACACGGGATGTTGTATCCAATTTTAATTCCAACGGTTCCGTACAAATTGTATTTAAACCTTTCCTAAAACACGAATTAAAACTAAACTAATCAGACCCTAGGAAAAACACGCGCCCGATCGGGCGAAGGGCCGCCCGATCGGGCCCGCCTTTTTGCTAGCACACTCTTCTCAGCAGCACCGCCCGATCATGCTAAGCCTCGCACGATCGGGCGCGCCTTGGGCCACACATCCTTGGCTTGCTGCGCATCTTGCCCGATCGAGCTAAGCTTGCCCGATCGGGCCCTTGTGGCTCCTCGAGGCTTTGGACTTCCGATTGGGCTCGACTCCTCGGCCCAATCCGGATCTCCTCTTCGGGTCTTGAATACTCGGTCCAAACCTCGGTATTCCAAATACCGAGCCCTTAATCACTGGCTCGATGGCTCTAGCCGGCCTTGGGCTTCAACGACGGTCGTGCTCCTCCAATGCTCGTAGTTGCTTCATAAAAATCCCGGGAAAATGCTCCAAAGGTGCAATTCCCTGCAAAACTCAACCAAAACTACGAAAACACTAAAAAACACATATTAGTAATAGAAGTGTCTCTAAAGAGCCAAAAATACTACTAATTATGACCAAGGGACGGGAGTAAAATACGATATAAAATGGACACATCAGATGGTATTTAGTAAAGGAGGGAAAATGGATCCCTCCCTCCCCCTCCCCTTCCCCCAACGTATTATCCAAACAAGGAAGTTTGTCTCCCTCCCTTTCCCGTCCCTTCCTTTCCTTCCATTTTTTGTTATCCAAACATAACCTTAAAAACTTGTCTGGAAAGTGAAATATACTCCTATTTTCTGAACATATTTTTTTATTAATTTGGATTTATATCACTTTTAATCACATAATCGATCAAACAAACGAGGACATGACAAATCCTTTAACTCCATACGTTTCTTTCTCTCTTTTTTGTTTGCTATTGGTGTAGGGTAATTGAATACAACATTTTACTAGGTCATGAGTACTTCCTCTTTTTTTTGCATTATTTGAATCCTTGATATCTTCAACACTGATATGTAAAAATTATAAACATGATGTAAAATAGTATAAATTGATATGAATTTAATAAGATTTTATATGACTATATTTTTGTTTAGTTATAAATCATTTAAGCTAGTCAAAGTAAAAGTGTATCTCATATAATTATGATGAGTCATTTGTTTATAAAACTTTTATATTATCATACAAGTAATTAAGACAATGACATGTTATGTTGTGACTATTTAAGATTTTTTCCAACTTAAATATTTGACCTCTTTCAAATTTCAAATGCATAAATGGGTGTTTACAAGGTTATTTTACGGGTGACAGCTTGAATGAGTTGTAAAAAAAAAAAACCATACTTTATTAAGTCTGTTTGGATTCTGGGTGAAGCATGATTTGAGTCAGCAATCAAGTGCTAAGTTGGAGTCAGCAAAGGAAAGCATAGTTATCTGAATTACGGTAGCAACCAAATAGCAACAGCGTCGTGTCGCTGCATATGCATGGCATGGGACCATCGTATGTTTTTGACAAATATCTATGTCATCGTCACTCACTCGAACCTTCATCATACACATCACTCTCCCTTGAGTAACTTTAGACATTTAAGTTGTTTATTTAGAAGACGCATTTTCAGCACTTTCACGTTTTATGTCAAGTCAGAGATATACACCACCCATTCCCATTCATTCCTCTCGCAAAGTTGTAAACCTGTAATTAATTTCTTAGATAAATTTAATAAACACAAAATAACTTGGTTGTATATTTATCCACTAGGATATCAACCTATTACTTCTTCTATTCTTAAATAATTACCCTATTTTTAGACGTTATTTTCTTTAAATAAAAATCGACTTTTTCTTAAGAGATTGACTTAAGACTTTCATCCCCTAGCCAAAATCCCTTACCCCCCTCCTAAAACTCCAACATTCTATAATTTTCCTCCCCTTACATAACCTCAAACACTACAAATTCACAAATGTTACCAAGTCTTTTTATCACTCAAAACTCTCACCATAATTTAAGTGTAACAACAACTATGATTAAGAACCAGGTAAAAGCTTCAGCAGGAGTAGTTAAGTTGAAGGTGGAGAAGAACACTTCAATCATGCCTACACTACTTAAAATGGGCTTCCCCTCACCAGGCCGGCGTCGTTGTTGTTGTTGCTGTGGTAATGCTCTTCTCAAAATTACTAGCAGGAGCAATACTATCAATCATCATCAACCCCATTTAACTAATATGAGTTCAGAGAAAGGAGTTATTAATGAGGAAGGTGGGCAGAATAAGCGGTTTGTGAAGATGATGAGGGAAGCTTGGCCATACTTGGAAGTACATAGGGGTTCTACCTTTGTTGTTGTCGTCTCTGCCTTCATTGTTAGTTCCCCAAATCTCCTCCACTCTATCCTCCAGGTTTCTCTCTTTGTCTTCCCTTTAGTTTATGCTTTGTTATTATTGTGGTTATAATTTGTCCAGTTTTTAATTGTACTATTTGGACTTTAAAACTATTTATGCATTTCTCTCTGAACATCTTTAGTACTTAATTGTTTTATTCTTATTATAATCTTCTTGATTTAAAATTTGATTTATACGTAAAGAAAATATAATTATATGAAATCATGTTTATTCATCTAGATTTGTACTAGTTTTCACGAGAGTGAATTTATGGACCATGTCATAACGAATAGGATGAAATATTATCATTAGTACATTCAAAATAGACACACTGGTGCAACTTTGAAAATTCGCAGGTTGTAATCTAGCTTGTATGATAGATTTAGGGTTTGTTCTGATTGATTGAACTGAAATGACTAAACTAAACTAAACTAAACTAAACTGAATTTATTGGAGCCGAACTGAACTTAATTGAACTGAATATTTGTTGAAACCCATTGTATCCCACTTGTGAGTGTCCCACATTGGAGAAAGAGGAGAGGCGGTTCCACTTTATAAGGTAGAGGAGTTACTCTAACTATTGCCAATTGGTTTAAGTATGGAAGCTCCAAAGCCTTGTTTGTGGACCAAACTCTCCTCCTCCTTGTTCGGGTTGCCCAGACCCATTACATATTATTTCGAAATTTAACAATATTTTATGAGAAAAGGAAATTAAAAAATGAACTGAACTTAACTTATTGAATTGAAAATAATCTGAAGAAAACATACACTTTTTCATATGCTCACATTTTTAGAATGCTTTTCGGATTGGTAGTATATTCTCTTCTCTTATATAATCACACCACATTGAAAATTCTTAACTCTCATGTCACGAATTCCTTAGAAGCGTAATATTTTTTTTAATAAGATATTGAATGTGGGTATGAGTGGGGTGGGTAGGGTACGGGAGAGTACAACCTAAAATACACTCCCACCCATCACTCATGACAAGTATAATTTTATCCCCATCTCTGCCCTATCACCTGTCTAACTCGTTTTTCATGTACAGGGATGAATCGGGTCTCCTACTTAAGCTAATGTGTCTTTTAAAAATAGAAATAACAATGAAAGGTGTCGTAGAAAAATAAAAACTTGTTGAGTCAGCTAGACTCATTTTAACATTGACTGCTATATACTACACGTCTACACCCGTTATACATATCATCCCAGTTTGCCCACGGCTCAACCACTTATCTTTCCCTAAACAACAATTTCAAATAAAACGACAATTACGAAAGAAGCGGCGCCGTTGGTAAAACAAAAAAAAAAAAACCAGGTTTAGGCATTTTTAGCAGCGCTTAACACGTTCCTTGTTTTTGTTCCTTTCTTCTTCTCCGTCTATATACGATAATCCACCATTAAAACTCTGCAATTAAAATGGCGAATTCTCACATAAACCCTAACTTTATATTCTTCCCTAAAATCAATCCTAAATTAATACCACCAAACTACACCACCCTAACTAAGAAGAGACGTTTGACCTTCAACTCCGACAATGGTTCCGTATTCGACACGATTAAGCTTCTTTCCACAGCATCTATCAATGGCGGCGAGAAAGTAGTGAAGTGCAAAGTGTCCAATGACACAGAGTGGGGAGAAGAAGAGGAGGAGAGAGAAAGAGATGGGTTTTTGTCGTTGTCGGCGTCAATGATGAAGGAAGTACAATTTGTACGGTGGTTTCGAGAAGCTTGGCCGTATTTTAGGGCTCATAGAGATGGTACTTTTGTCATTATCATCTCCGGTGAGATTGTTGCTAGTCATTTCTTAGACCCCCTCTTAAAGGCATGTCTTATATATTTCCTTATTTCATTATATACTCATTTTGCTGTTACTAATTTTTTCTACATTTGATTTTGTTGTTGTTTTGCTTATTTCAATTTTATTACTACTATTTTAGGAAATTGTTGCTGAGTTTAATAATTTCTGTATCTATATGGTCCCTTTAAAATACTTCCTAACATGGTATTAATTTGGGAATGAATGCCAAAATTACGCGTTGTTTGGTGTAAATAATGTTTATTTCGAGTTAATATTTCTATTTTAGTTTTTTTATCTAACGTCCCGAGCCGTTTGTTAGCTTTTGCCTTTAAATTTAAGAGCGAAACATTCATTTTTACCTAAGTTATATTTTAATGTTTCATACTGATTAATTCATCAACGTTTCATACTAATTAGTTGGAAATACTCCTGAATTGCTTCTTTTATTATAGATTTTGGGCTAAAATTTCCATTTCTATGTGTGTCATATGCGTATGTGTATGTGTATGTGTATGTGTATGTGTATGTGCATGTGCTAAGAGAGATTTGCCTTATTCACTTGATTAGTTCATTTGGTGCTAATAAAACTTGTACTTTTGTTGCAGGACATTTCGTTACTCCATGGATTAGGGATCAAATTTGTGATTGTTCCTGGTACCCATGTGCACATTGATAAGCTTTTAGCAGAGAGAGGTTAGTGAAAATTAATGAGTTTCTCATGTGTATACTCAGAAGTAGCATTTCATACATTTGCTTCATATTTATGGGAGGAAAAACATATGATTGAAATTTCTTTTATTAAGGTATTATTGAGTTTTTATTTCCATTGTGTTAAAATATTATGTACTTCATTGCAAAATACATGTGCTACACTACCTTTGCATAATCCAAAAGATGTACCTCTCAATTATCACAAATTGTGTGAAAAAAGCTATTGATATTACCCTTTATTTTTGCTTGTTGTGCACTAATTATATGTGTTGATTTTGAGAATATACTGTTAGTTTAGGTTAATAATATACTAATTTATTGCCAACAATTGTTTTTATGAGGAGGGTAGAAGTGTAGAACGACTTATGTTCAGCTGTAGTTATTTACCTACTGTCTATCAAGGCTTGAAACAAAATGTCATTGTAGTACTTTAAAACCTCAGATAACTTCTCCGGATTCTTTGCCTTTCACTAGAAAGCAAATAGTGATCTCACCAGTCCTGTGGTGAATATTAATCTGGATTGAAAGTTAGATGACTGTGGACCAATATTCACTGCATGCATCAAGCATGATTTTGAAGCTGTTGTCATGATTGCTGATCTGTTATTTATGGGATGTTTTGAATGTGTTATCTGTGTCTTATCATTTTCTCAGATATTATATTGTGTCAGGTTGTAAGGTATCCTTATAATGTATTTTTGTAGGAAGCAAGGCTCGGTATGTTGGGCCATATAGAATCACAGATTCTGATTCCCTTGAAGCAGCTATGGAAGCAGCTGGAAGAATACGTATAATGATAGAAGCAAAACTTGCTGCTGGACCATCTTTATGTAATATACGCAGACATGGGGAAAATAGCCGATGGCATGATGTTGGTGTAAGTGTTGCAAGTGGAAACTTTTTGGCAGCTAAGGTAAGATATTGACTTATACATGCAATGCACAATTTTATAAAACGTTGTTGAATTATTTACAGATTGCCACTAGATAAACGTTTTTTTGTTTATTATGAAGATAAATTTGTATTTTCTCATTTTAGAATGACATGACATGCTTAAGTTTGTATCATATTGAAAGGAAGGTTCCTTGACAGTGTCTATGGTAATGCTACTCCACCCCTTAGAGTTGGTAATCTGGTATTGAATGGTAACATTGGCTGTGGGACTTTCTTTGTAATGTTATATGAAACTTATAACCATCTCCATCATATATTACTACTTATCGAACGTGCCTTAAAATTATTACATTTTAAGTTGTGGTTGCATATTGTAATACTGAAGTTTTAGTAGTTTCACAATTATTTTATTTTAATTTGTTAACTTATTGCAGAGAAGAGGAGTTGTGAAGGGTATTGATTATGAGGCAACTGGAGAAGTCAAGAAAGTAGATGTTGCTCGTATTCGTGAGAGGCTTGATGCAGGGTGCATAGTGCAACTGAGTAATTTGGGTTATTCCAGCTCTGGAGAAGTACTAAATTGCAAGTATGTTGATGAACTTTGGTTTCTGTGTATTTTTGGGTTGTAACCAAGTAATTGATCATTGATGTTTAATTTTCCTTTCCTTTTCTTACAGTACATATGAGGTCGCAACTGCTTGTGCCCTGGCTCTCAATGCCGAGAAACTTATTTGTGTGATTGATGGGCCTATTTTGGATGACTTTGGACATCTTATCCGCTACCTCAGCCTTCATGATGCAGACAAGCTTATTCGTCAACGAGCTAAACAAAGTGAGGTTGCTGCTAATTATGTGGAAGCTGTTAGTCAGGAAGATCTCAAAACTCAGGAGCAGTATCAGCTCACTGATACCATCCCATCTCTGTTGAATGTAAATGGAAATGCAACATTTCAAAATGGTCTTGGTTTTGACAATGGAAATGGGTTATGGTTTGGCGAGCAGGGTTTTGCTATTGGTGGTCAAGAGAGGCTAAGTAGGCTTAATGGTTACCTTTCAGAATTGGCTGCTGCAGCTTTTGTATGCAAAGTAAGTTCTGTTAATATTGGGCAAATTTCTTCTGGTTCCATTAACTTTTTTTAATTTTTAAGCGAGGCTAACCCACGCCACAGCGCCACTTCTAATCCTTTTTTTTTTTTTTTTTTCTCTTGTTAATTTTTTTGTATGTTGATATTTTGGTTCTGGAAAGAATTTTTCTGGTGGTTACTTGTTAGGTCTGGTTGATTCATTATTATTCTCATGTCAAGCTTAGGTATATTGTATAACGAATTCCAGAAAGAATAGTGGACTGTCATTAGTGCATCCTCCATATTGACAAGTTGGAGAGTCAATACTCAATTTACTCTTAACAACTAATCAAATATTATAAGTAGGATGAACTTTGTTATTGGCGTATCCTCAATATCGAAAGAGCTGAAGACTAGCCGAAGAGACACAATATCTAAATATCTAGAGAAATAGGCTCTTATTAATCAACTTCGTGGCATTTGTTGTTACTTGTTAGTTTTATAATATTGAACACAATTAATATGTGGTTGACTTTTGCATACTATAGGGCAATATAGTATGAGAGGTACAGTTTAATGGTTTCAGAAATTTATTAGGAGTATGGTTTCATTGATACACTACACAGACATGGTTTTGCATTAAATAATATACCCCATCCATCCACTTAGATTGCCCCATCTCTCTTTCTCTCTCTCTCTCTCAAACACACACACACACACATAAGAGTTGGTTCAATTGGGTCGCATGCAGGTTCTTTTTTCTTTTTTGCCCTTTTGTGGTTTCACATTGCAATAGTAGGGAAAACATTCCATAAATGGTATGGAGCAAACTTAATGGGACACCCATTTAGGCATTTACAGAAAGTGTGGCAAACTCAATGGCACATCCATTTATGAAAATGGGAGCAATCTCAGTGGGATGGAGATGGAGTAGTATGTAACTTCGAGATGCCGATTCCCCTGCCCCCAACCACCTGACTAGAAAAAAGTGGTGGAGTATTGTTTAAAGTTTGGTGCATACATTAATTCGCTGTTTAATATGAGTTCATGTGTTTCTCTTGTATGCTGAGGTTTCTGTGATAGACTGACAGCACATCATGCCTGTTCTAATTTTTGTTTTTGGCTTTGGTTGACTTTCTAACATATCCAATGAAAGTGGTAATTGTCTTAGTTATGAAGCTTTCAATTGATTTCTTTATTTGTGTATGTTCTGTGCATCACATGGCAATCATAATATGTATTTTTCTTGCCCTTCCTCATTTTCCTTACAGGGTGGTGTCCAAAGAGTTCATCTATTGGATGGGACGATTGGTGGAGTCCTTTTGTTAGAATTGTTTCAGAGAGATGGTGTGGGGACAATGGTAGCAAGGTATATGCTGTCTTTTTGTTAGGTGCATATATGAGAAGTGTGAGTGTTTTTTTTTGCTTTGTTAGGGAATAGGGATCTTTCTTTTTCTAATTTTGGGGGTGGGGAGGGGGAGTTTGATAAACGTCATTGAATGCTGTACTAGTTGTCAATTAAATTATTCTGGGGCTGCATTCTTTTTGTTGAGAAAGGCTTTTTCCTATATCGTCCTTTGTTTGTTGAAAATAGTTGTTTGCCTGTTTAGGTTAGCATACCTAAAGAACTATGTCAGGTGTCTGCTGTGACATTTTTTCTTAAGATCATGATAAGATGTATTTTTGGGATCAAAGGACAACATCTATCTTTTTGGTTTTGATATCTGAATAATTTTTGATTTTTTTTTTTTTAAATTATTATTGTATTTAAGTATGTGATGAAAAATATATAGAAGCAATGCAAGCATAATTAAAAGTGTAGACGTGTAGTAGTAGTATGATTGAGGATCACAAAAGGCAATCGACTCGCATTTCTATTATACATGGAGAATACACAGTTGCTCATGGTTTTGATGCTTTTTGGGAAAAGCTTTGCATACTAATTTGTAACAGGAGATATGTAGTAGAGCTTCTCTTGGTTATTAACATTCAGATTCTTGAATTAAAATACCTTTTTGTTTTGTTCGTTTTATTTAGTCATTGGCTATTTTCCGAAGAAATTGAGCCTATTGAGTTGTTCCCCAAAATCCTAAGGGCCTGAAACCTAACTGTGATGGTGGAAAGAACTCTAGGCCTCATTTATTTAGGTCACTGTGAGTGCCAGGTATTTTGACACTTCAAGTTTGGACATTATCTCTAGGTCATCCACACCTCTTTGACCCCTCTCCTTTCATTTTTTTTTTTTTTTTTTTTTTTTTGCTGAAACTTAAGATGAACTAGTGTGAAATGTAGTCATGGACATCTTTTTCAATATGATCAAATCTTCTCTTTGCAGTGACGTGTATGAGGGAACCCGAATGGCTAGGGAGGCCGACCTTGCTGGAATAAGACAGATACTCCGACCTTTAGAGGAGTCTGGCACTTTAATCCGACGGACTGATGAAGAGGTCTGTTATCTGCATTAATTTTGATTGCTCTAGCTCTTTCTTTTCTCAGGCATTCTCACTACAGATTTACATGGAGCTCCTTTGGCCTCCTACCCTTTGATCTGTGATTAATGTGCACATCTTTGCTTGTTTTATGGATATAGTTACTTGCAGCAATTGAGTCTTTCATTGTTGTGGAAAGAGAAGGTCAGATTATTGCTTGTTCTGCTTTATATCCATTCTTTGAAGATAAATGTGGGGAAGTTGCTGCCATCGCTGTATCTCCAGAATGCCGAGGACAAGGGCAGGGTGATAAGTTACTAGGTATGTCATGTTTATAAGTCATTCATGCGTTTGTAGCAATAATGTTGTCAAACTGCCCATGCACCCTGACTTGTGATAATCTTGGAAGAAAAGTATACTCTTATAAACTTATCCTGGTACAGTAGTACTGCAAATCAAGGTCTGATTTAATGTAAAAGAAGTTGTGTGAGAAAATGAAGATTTTTAATGAAAAGAAAGTGGACGTATTAGTTTTTCCTTAACTGTTTCCTCCCAAAAGTGTATGCTTGTGGATACTTCAGATTAGTCTACTTACTAGTGTAGACTAATTAGCAGTAAATCTACATACATTACACTTGAATATCCTAAACCTTGTCAGCAGAGAGATAGATGGGTGGTGGAAGTGATGATGGCTGGGATGTATGATTAAATAATTTATCCTCTAAATTGATCACATTATTTACTGTTTTTTTTTTACCTAGATAATCACTTTTGTTGGTAAACTGCAGATTATATTGAGAAAAAAGCATCGTCCCTTGGATTAGAAATGCTTTTTCTACTAACCACTCGCACTGCAGATTGGTAAGTTCGCCATTATTATTGCCAGGTTCACAATCTATATACATGTTCCTTTGTGTTTGAGGCATGAATACAAAAGGCTAGATTTTGCCATTTTATGAAAAACATTATTTTTTAGGTAGTTGAAAGAAAACTTGGAAACTTCTGTTAATTAATTGGACTAATAGCATTTTATAATTATATTTACTGTAATTTATAGATTCAGAGGAATATTATATGTCCACTACACTAACAATTTGATAATTCCTAACAAGCGTAGATATCTAAAATGTCTACAGAAGGAACTGTTATGCCTCTTTGCTCTGTGGAAAGAATTTTCCATTTTGATGCCAATTTTTCAATCTTTAATTGGTTTCTAATTGAGTAATTGGTTTCCACCTGGAAATTTTTTGAATTTTTGTGTTATCCAATTAGAGATAGCTCAGACTGGCATTTACGTGATTCATATAATATGTTTACCCATTTATCTGTGCGGTAGCAATGCTCATGTAAGATCATCACAGGTTTGTAAGACGTGGATTTTCAGAGTGCACCATTGATTGCTTACCGGAAGAAAGAAGGAAAAGGATCAATTTATCCCGCAACTCCAAGTATTACATGAAAAGGCTGGTTCCAGACAAGAGTGGGATAGCTGTTATGTGACCTTAGTAGTTATCTCTAAGTAGTTTAGTTAGTTACACAAGTAGGGCTTGCACTTTCATAGTTAGTGATGCTTTTAAAAATGCAAGTTAGGACTAGCTTCCCGAGAGATAGTACAGGTGCAATTTTGTAGAAGAGGTCAGGTTAATGTAGTCTATCCTGCAGAGTGCAGTTTTTTTTTTCTTTGCTGATAATGATAGTATAGGTGCTGCTGCTGATAATGATGATAGTGTGAATAAGTTTATATGTATATGTGAAGATGCTATGTGGTTATACTTGTGCATACAAGGTTTATTATCTCTGTTGAATCGAATAAATCTCAGCTATTGTTTTCAGTTAATAATGCAAATGGTTATCGTGAAAGAATTTTGGTGCAGTAAGTGGTGTACTGTTGTGGTGGTTGTGAAAACGATTTAACAAAACACATAAACTACCTGTTGTTAATTGTTTCATATTTCACCATTATTCAAGACTTACATTGACCATTATTTATTTTTACTACTTTCTCTGATTTTGTTGGGGTGCTTAGTGCTTACCAATTTATCATGCACCTTACAATATCTTGAGAGACTATTTGGAGGGTTGGAATCGTCTACTTTGTATTTTAACTGTCAATAATACAACATTATATGTGGGTTGCAACTCTTACCCTGTCAAAAAAATTTGATATGGAATCTTGAAATCTCTAAAGTTTGTTCAAAAAGCCTTTGTTTTTGGGGGACATATTGGAACCCAACAAGATTATACATTGAAGTGTTACTCCTATTTGGTGACCAAAACTTTCTCATTCATGCCTTGTACCTCCTTTTGTTATCACGCCTTAGGATGTCTTGTGAGTTGTGACGCTTTGGCCAGGCTTAGTAGTGTGATGCTTTGACTTGTGTTGCCTTGCCATCCTAGGCCTTGCAAAGACACTATTTATTTGGTGCATACGCCAAAATTAATTACCTTTATCCCCTTTCCATTAATTTTTTTGAACATTTTTTAAACTAACTAAATTTTCCCATTTATTTTACCAAATTTAAGTCATAATTTTCTCATTTCAATCACCACACCATTGTCCCTCTCTAGAGCTGTCCATTCGGGTAAACGAATTGGGTTTTGGTCGGGTAAGAGTGGGTTGGGTCAACTCGGTCGGGTCAAATTTTCACGCTTTTTGAGAAATTTTGGAGTTGACCCGACCCACTCTTACCGACCCAAACACGACCCGTTTACGCGAATTAACTTTACCCAAAAATTCCAAAATTGAAGTCTAATATTCACGTTTTTTGAGAAATTTTAGATGTTTCGGAGTTTGTTGTTGAAAAGTCTTTAAATTTTAAGAAATGCATCTCGGGGTCATATAATGTCATTTGGAACCATATATGATCATTATTTGTTGTTATAAGTGTTTGTGGTAGACTTGAGTTGATGAAATTTGTGCAAGTTGTAAACCGGTAACGTTTAAAGGCAAATTGGATGGTTCCAGCCAGCCAATTGGACTCCCGTAGGCTGGAGGGTATAGGGACCATGGTAAACATTTTGGCAATTTTTATTTCAGATTGAAAAAAAGTCAAAAAAATTCAAAAATTGAAGGTTAATAATATACACGCTTTTTGAGAAATTTTGATGGTTTCGAAGCCCGATGTCGAAAAGAAATAAGATTTTAGGGGACACTTCTCAGGGTCATATAATGTCGTTGAAACCATAAATGATCATTATATGTTGTCGTAAATGTTTGTTGTAGGCTTGAGTTAATGAAATCAGTGCAATTTATAAACCGGTAAATTCGTCATTTAAATGCAAATTGGATGGTTCCACCCACCTAATTGGATTCCCGGAGGGTATTAAGGATCAAGGTAATCATTTCGTAAAATTTTATTAACAAGCGAATAAAAGTCAAAAAAATCCAAAATTAAAGGCTATCCACACTTTTTGAAAGATTTTGGAGGTTGCGAGGCCCGGTGTCGAAAATCCTTGAGATTTTAGGGAATACATCTCAGTGTCATATAATGTCGTTTGGAACCATATATGATCACTATATGTTGCCATAAATGTTTGTGGTGGGCTTGAGTTAATGAAATCGTTGCAAGTTTTAAACCGGTAAATTGGTCGTTTATTGGCAAATTGAATGGTTCCACCCAACCTATTCAACTCCAGGAACGTATTAGGGACCATGGTAAATATTTCGGCAATTTTTATTTACAAGCAAAAAGAAGTTAAAAAATTCCAAAATTGAAGGCTAATATCCACGTTTTTTGAGAAATTTTAGAGGTTTCGGGGCCCGGTGTCGAAAAGCCTTAAAATTTTAGAATATAAATCCTGTGGCCATTTAATGTCGTTTGGAACCATATATGATCATTATATGTAGTCATAAGTGTTCGTGGAAGGCTTGAGTTAATCTAATCGGAGCAAGTTGTAAACTGGTAAATTAGCCGTTTAAAGACAAATTGGATGGTTTCACCCACCCAATGGGACTCCCGAAGGTTATTAGGGACCATGGTAAACCTTTCGGCAATTTTAATTTTTGAGCGAAAAAAAGTTAAAAAATTCCAAAATTGAAGGCTTAATATCCATGCTTTTTGATAAATTTTGGAGGTTTCGGGACTCAATGTCGAAAAGGCTTGAGATTTTAAGGGATACATCTCGGGGTCATATAATGTCGTTTGGAACAATATATGATCATTATATGTTGTCATATATGTTCGTGGTAGGACTGAGTTAATGACATCAGTGCAAGTTATAAATCGGTAAATTGGCCCCTTAAAAGCGAATTGGATTTTTCCACCCACCCAATGGGACTCCCGGAGGGTATTAGGGATCATGGTAAACATTTCAGCGATTTTCATTTTCGGGCAAAAAAAAAGTCATAAAATTCCAAAATTAAAGGCTATCCACGCTTTTTTGAGAAATTTTGGAGGTTTTAGGGCTTATTTTCGAAAAGGCTTGAGATTTTAGGGGACACATCTTAGGGGCATTTAATGCCGTTTGGAACCACATATGATCATTATATGTTGTCATAAATGTTCATGGTAGTCTTGAATTAATTAAATCGGTGAGAGTTATAAATCGGTAAATTGGCCGTTTAAAGGCAAATTGGATGGTTCCACCTACTCAATTGGACTCCCGGAGGTTATTAGGGATTATGGTAAACATTTTCGCTATTTTTATATGCAGCCTAAAAAAGTAAAAAAAAAAAAATCAAAAATTGAAGGCTAGTATCCACGCTTTTGAGAAATTTTGGAGTCTTCAAGGCCCGGTGTCTAAAAGTCGTGAAATTCTACGGAATACATCTCGAGGTCAAATAATGTCGTCTAGAACCATATATGATCATTATTTGTTGTCATAAATATTCATGGTAGGCTTGAGTTAATGAAATCGACGCAAGTTGTAAATCGGTAAATTGGCCATTTAAAGACAAATTGAATGGTTCCACCCAACCAATGGGACTCCCGGAGTTATTAGGGACCATGGTAAACATTTCGACAATTTTTATTTCTGGGCGAAAAAAAGTCAAAATTTTCCAAAATTAAAGACTAATATCCACGCTTTTTAAGAAATTTGGAGATTTCTGGGCCCGATGTCGAAAAGCCTTAAAATTTTAGTAGATAAATCATGGGGTCATTTAATTTCGTTTGGAACCATATATGATCATTATATCTTGTCATAAATGTTCGTGGTAGGCTTGAGTTAGTGAAATCGGCGCAAGTTGTAAACCGGTAAATTGGCCGTTTAAAGTCAAATTGGATGGTTCCACCCACCCAATGGGAATCCCGAAGGTTATTAAGGACCATGGTAAAAATTTGTGCAATTTTTATTTCCGGGCGAAAAAAAGTTAAAAAATTCAAAAAATAGAAGGCTATTATCCAAGCTTTTTGATAAATTTAGGAGGTTTTGGGACTCGATGTTGAAAAGGCTTAAGAATTTAAAGGATACATCTCAGGGTCATATAATGTCTTTTGGAACCATATATGACCATTATATGTTGTCATAAATGTTCGTGGTTGGATTTTATTAATGAAATCGGTGCAAGTTGTTAATTTGTAAATTGGCCGTTTAAAGGCAAATTGGATGGTTCCACCCTTCCAATGGGACTCCCGGAGGGTATTAGGGACCATAGTAAACATTTCGTCAATTTTCATTTTCTGGCGAAAAAAAGTTAAAAAATTTCAAAATAGAAGTCTAATATCCACGCTTTTTGAGAAATTTTGGAGGTTTCGGGGCCTAATGTCGAAAAGCCTTGAGATTTTAGAGGATACATCTCAGGGTCATATAATGCCGTTTGGAACCATATATGATCATTATATGTTGTCATAAATGTTCGTGGTAGGCTTGAATTAATTAAATCGGCAAGAGTTGTAAATCGGTAAATTGGTCGTTTAAAGGCAAATTGGATGGTTCCACCTACCCGATTGGAATCTCGGATGTTATTAGGGATCATGGTAAACATTTCGGGTATTTTTATATGCAGGCGAAAAAAAGTCAAAAAATTCAAAAATTGAAGTCTATTATCCACGGTTTTTGAGAAATTTTGGAGCCTATGACTCCCGGTGGCTAAAAGTGTTGAAATTCTAGGGAATACATCTCAAGGTCATATAATGTCGTTTGGAACCATATATGATCATTATTTGGTGTCTTAAATATTCGAGGAAGGCTTGAGTTAATGAAATCGGTGCAAGTTGTTAACCGATAAATTGTCGTTTAAAGGCAAATTGGATGGTTCTATCCACCCAATTGGACTCCCAAGAGGTATTAGGGACCATGGTAAATATTTCGACAATTTTTATATATGGACGAAAAAAGTAAAAAAATTCTAAAATTGAAGGCTATCCACGCTTTCTGAGAAATTTTGGAGGCTTCGGGGCCCGGTGTCGAAAAGCCTTAAAATTTTAGAAGATAAATCTTGGAGTCATTTAATGTCGTTTGAAACCATAAGTGATCATTATATGTTGTCATAAATATTCGTGGTAGGCTTGAGTTAATGAAATAGGTGCAAGCTGTAAACCTGTAAATTGGTCAGTTAAAGGCGAATTGGATGATTCCACCCACCCAATGGGACTCCCGAAGGATATTAGGGACCATGGTAAACATTTCGGAAATTTTTTTTCCAGACGAAAAAAAGTAAAAAAAATTCCAAAAGTAAAGGCTAATATCCACGTTTTTTGTTAAATTTTGGAGGTTGCAGGACCCGATGTCGAAAAGGCTTGAGATTTTAAGATATACATCTCCGGGTCATATAATGCCATTTGGAACCATATATGATCATTATATGTTGTGATAAATGTTCGTGGTAGACTTGCTCCCTTTTTTACTAGGTCTAATCCGTTTGTTTATGCTTGATGCAGTCGGCCCTCAGGAGCCTGACTTGGTAGAGGTGGCCAAGTCTA